TCGGCGATGATGTCTCTATTGTGAAACAACAAAATATTCGTAATTTTATTGATTACTGTGATATAACGAAGAATTAACTCACGTTAAGCTGAACACAACAATAAATATTATTTTATTCATAGAAATAATATTTCAAAGCTATTTCACGAAACTGTATTTATTATTATTCCTGTGAAAACGTACTTATATGTGAAAAATGGAATGTAAAATTGCATTACTTCATATTCTGCCAACATTTCATTTTGTATTTATGACGATCTTCAATTAATTTCAAGCATGATTCACCCAAGCAGCATGTAAACAGGATTTTAGGCTTGATTGCTCTTTAATCTTATTTTTCAGTGCAGAGGAGCTTAAAGCAAAACTTATCAGCAGTGACTTTTACGTGCAATTCTTAAGATTCCCTGCTACATCATATTTAAAATCCATCAGTTATATACAAGATAGAAAGCGTGCGAATGTATTTCGAGTATATCCGCTAATGGCTATTCAAAGAAAATCAACGCTGACATTTATTCTTCGAATATTACGATAGTACTTTATAATTCTTACTAGCGAATGATGCGAGCAAATCATTATGATTTGCCAACCCAAACAGTGTTCGGACGAGTGCAAATGCTGCAAGTAATCCAATCAATAGAATTTTGAATAATTGGATTCTTTGATGGATAAACAGCTTCCTCTCATTCGAGAGCTTGTACCATATGTCTCTTTTACTTCTTCCATTAACAGCAGTAGCTTTAGGTATGGGAATGAAGTGTGTGCATTTGTGGGTGTGAGCACGCACGTCATCCACACAAACGCCCACGCCCACACCCACACTCTTCAGTTTAGTCTTAGTTTTGTGGAGATGGAGAAAAGTTGTGTTCGGATATACATTGAATAGTATCCAGTTACGCCGAGAAGCGAGTACACAGAATTGGTGCGTACTCAAACAAACTTGTTGTGTGCAATCGCTGTGAATATTACATACATGAATTAATCGGAAGCAGAGTGCTGCTAACCTATTCTAAACTGAATAAATTAATTCATTATAATTCGCTGTTACTGGAGCATCCTTGATTATACTATTGATATTCCTCGACGATTTGTTATCCATTATCTGATCGCGATATATACGCACTTCTATATATCTCGATACATTATACCCTACGAATAATATTTATTTTTCATTACACTAAGGAAAAAAGAAAAAGAAAAGTCAAATCAGAAAGGGAAAAGAAAGAATAGATTCAGGTAGTATATTCATTCATTCGATGAGGATTGTTCAATAGTTTAAAACCGTTTTGAAAAAAATTGTCAGTACACAAACATGAGAATATGGGCAGATTATTCGTGGATTCAATTTAGAATACTATCCATTTTACGAAGAGAACCCACATACTTAATGCATACAATTCGTGAACTGTTACCATAGTTGTGAGTTGAGTGGGCTTCTAAAAAGTGAGCACATATTTAAAAATAATTGCAGTTGAAGGAATCGCTAGTTATGAGCACTTCAGAGAATATGCTTTGATGTTAAAGTTTCACTTTCACTTTCAGTTTTTCATAAATAACCGTAAAAAATATTTTTGTGCATAGCATCGAGGAAGTTGTGACGATAAAATGATTGGCAGAAAATGTTATTACATATAGTATAGAACTTGATAATTTGGGGATTAAATTTGCACTCAGATTAATCTATTAGGTGAAGCAATCATAATTTTTTCAAATCATACACTACTAAAAAAAGATACATAATGCTAAGCTTAGATGCCCATTTTTAATTTGAATCTATAAATGACCTGTTTTTTTGCGTAGTTCACTTGCAATTGATAGATAACAGAAATTCATCAAAACAGTTATTTCTCTTTTTATCAACTAGCGAAGACTATGACTTTAGTAATTCAAGATACATCAAAACACGCACGTAAGTCATGTATATTCATACATGCTGAAGATGAAAATAAGTGTAATAAATTAGAAAACTCATATTTGCTGTTATGTTTGTATATTTACACCAGACGACAGCTGTATTATGAAGACAAAGCTGTTCTTACAATGACTAGATTTTACTACAGAAACTGCCAAATTTCCACTACATTTGTTTTATCAACTTTTTCAAAATATTTACATTCTGAATCAGCATGAAAAACTCAGTAGAAAAAAATCTTATTAAGTTAGATGTAGACCTAATAAGGTTAAAAAATCCAACCCATATAAATGCACTCATTAGGCTCCAAGCTTATGTTCGTCAGCATTCTTCTAAACCTACCATGGCTTTTTTTTGTAACGAGAGATAAAAGAAAATGTCTTATCTCATGAAAATAGCTAAATGATGAGCTACAAAAGTACTTCCTTAATTTTCTTCTATTACTGTGTTTTAATGTTGAAAAAATTGAACGGTTTTCTTTTTTGTTGGTAATATGAGACATAAGGAAGAATAATGTGCTTGTATTTCGCAGTTTTTATTATCAAAATCTACTCAAAAAAAAATAGATAGCATATTCTAGATTAGAATCAAATACTACATTGAACCATATATGTTTTATTGAAAGCTATTTGCGATGAAAATTAGACCTATGATCCCAGTTAGGCATATTTTTCAAAACTTTTGCTTTTAGTTCTTCACGTTAATGTAAGTTCACAATGAAAGAATAGGATATCATTTGAATTCTTTTATTTTTCGACATCACAATAGATTGTGCTTCTCTGTAGAAGACGACTCCAACGTTGATACGAATTCGGGTCGTTTAAAAACACACCCTTTCCGCATCAAGTTCTGACGGTAACATGTTGAACTGATTGATGCACATATCCCATTATCTAAAGTAGAAAATCATCCATTTCTAGATACATAACATTCATTCCAATTCATGGAGACAGCTGAAAGTCGTCATATTAAGTTTGGTGTATTAATATCCTTTCAAATTCCTTCGATTGTCTGTTACCTCGGCTTAATCTTCCATATCATATCCAATCGACCATCGCTACGAAAACTCCATAATCATGCTTCACTTGTCCTGCTTGTTGTCGGTTTCATTGCTGTCGTTGTCGATCTCTCCATGATTCTCGACTTTTTACGCACTGGTATTGTCAGTAGCAGCACTGATGTCTACTGTCGCATCTGGAATTTTATCGATTACTCTCTGTATGCACTCGTGTCCATATTGATGTTGTGGACATCAATTGAGCGACATATTCTAATTTTTCACCGTCAGCAATGGCTTGATACACGACGAAAGCGATTCTTTGTGCATTATGTTCCATTTGCTGTCATTTTCGTATATCTCATTTTGTTTTATGCGTTCCTCATTTTCACCCATCAATGTGAGAATCGTTTCGATTATACGCAAGTAATCTGTGGTGGTTTATGCTTTTTTCTTGACACTCCCATGCTGGGTTTCTTCGATCAACTTGCTCACACTGTCGTCCCATCTATTCTCATCGTTATATTGAATTTAGGGTTATGGGGTCGGGTCCTTTGGCAAAAACGTTACCGGATGCGACGAGCGATGGAATGGCGTCAACATCGGAAGATGATCTTACAATTCCTTCCCGTATCTATTCTCTATTCATGTGGCTATCTCCCATTTGGATTTGTCCAGTGTTATCAAATGATTAATGGTCCGACAAGCCTTAGTGTGACTATCCAACAATTGTATTTTTTCTATCTATTTTATCTTATCTGCACATTGCATCCATTCGCGTGCCTAATTGGCATGCCTGAAATCTATTTGAAATGGTTCCGTAGACAAAATGCACGTGTTTCTGCTATTACTATTGAGCCAAAAAATAGAACAAATATAAGGGCCACAACTGCCGTGTAGATTTTATTAACAGTTATAATATGGTTTCACAAGTGTGTATTACAAGTCATTGAAAGGAAAAAGTCTCTATTATACCTGTTCGTTATTTCAAAATAAAAGAAATGTGGGTGTGTCATGGGTGCGACTCTTCTCTGAACCCACACTCACACCCACACCCACCCACACCCTTATTTAGTTTATGTTTACAATAATAAATGATGAGAACATTGATCAAGAGAATTATTTTCGCACTATATGATCACGGAAGAGAAAAGATATTCAAATGGAATAACATTCCATCCATCTCTTATCTATGTACAATGAATACAATGTCTATATCTGACAGACAAAAAGAAAATTTAAAACATAAAAATGCACTTAACAAAGTGTTCTACGAAATGAAATATAATCAATGAATCCAAAATATGTTCTGTAGTGGAAGGATTTCATGAAGTCGAAACGTATGATGGACGTCACAAAACATTAATGAGTCTTGCAATTATGGATCATAATTATATATTCTGAACATTGATTCATTATTATAGTTATTAGAGAAAAAAATCTTAATTGTTGTTGCTTCTTAAAATTCACGAGATTTTTAGTGAAAATACAAAATAAATGAAATGAAAACCACATGTTCCATAGAGTTATCCAAGATCGATTTAATCATCTCAAAAGAAGAAACTAATCATTAAACATTAGCCGATTTCAGTTCAATCGAGTCTCGAATGGTACATATTTTGATATTATTTTTCTATATATACGATAGTTATACTCGATAATTCATTTCACTTGTTTATTTAAGAAATAGTCATCGACTATAAACAACAAAAATTCTACCACCATAAATATAAATCATGATTAACAAATTTAATAAAATATTAATCATCAAGTAAATTTTCTGATTTAATTAACGTATTCAATTCTCGCAAGTATCTTGTGGGTAGTCGAAAAATACATAAGAAAAACAAATGACGTGATTTATTATTAGTTGTTAATAATAAAAATCGTATAATTTGTTCAATTTTTTTTTTATCAATTGCAATTTTAAAGTATTCTAACTGAGGAAATAAATTAAAAAACAATTGAATTTGTTCTAATGTTGTAGACCGATTAAAAAGTTCTAAATTTATTATTTTATTTGCGACTGATATATGTTGAAAAATGTCACTTTGTTGAATTAATTTTGAAGAAGTTTCATTGCGAGATGAATTATTTCAATTTCAGTGTTTGTAAATTAGGTGTCAAACATAATAATTTAATAATAAATTCTTCAAAAGGAAAATTATAAACTTCAATAACTAATTTAGTAAGTTGTTCTAAAGGAACAATACGATCAAAACTTGTTATTATTGAATTATCAAATTTTTCAGAACGATATTGAAGAGTCAATTGAGTAGTATTTGGAAAATAATTGACAAAATTATCTGTCATTCGTTCATTATGAATATGAACATGTTTAACTGAATTTAAATCATTTTCTTGAAGATGTGAACAAATATGAATATCTGATTCCCAATAAAATGTATAATATTTTCTCCTAGAAAAGAAAAAGAAGAGAGATAATATAAAATCAAGTAAATCTATTTTTACCGATATGGATTTGTTGAATAAAATATTCCACTTTCAATTTGTTTTCCTTGCCAATTATGTTGATGTGTAAAAAACCATTGTTTTTCAATCCAAAATTGCGATGTAAATTGATTGAGTATATCATGATATGTTGCAGGATTGTCAAGAAATACATGGTTATCATGATTAAAATCAAAGACACACGTAAATTAGGCATATAAGATACGATTAATTGTTCCCATCGTTTTGAATCTAAATATGATTGATCCATTCTTGTTGTAATATGTAAAACTTCAATAGAACTAAAGTAATGCTTTACTAATAGTTCAAATCCATTGAACAAAACATTATAAATCTTGAGAGAAATATATTTAAAATCTTTTAATAAAATATGACTTAATTTAATA